ATCCTGTTTTGTGGATTAGGGATTCATAGGAGCAAACTGTGAAGAAAAAAGCTTAAAATGATGGAAAAACTATATAATCAATGCCACGTGTACCCTGGTCTGGAACAGAGGTGCCAGGAAATGAATCAGGAGCCAAGTTTAAAAGATGCCTCCTGCAAGCAACTTGGGAGAAATAACTTGAATTTCCCCTCTAATGGGGTGGAAGCTAGAAACAACCTTTTAAAAATTACAAAGCAGTGAGTGCTAAGTGTAACTACTCAACTGCTGAACCAGGCAGCGAAGATCAATTTGGGCTACAGAGCCCAAATAAGACTTGGCAGGGTTCCTGAACAGGCTGCAAATAATCAGAATTGCTGATTTGGCTCACCTATTGTTTGCAAAACCTCCTGGATTATTCTGTAAGAATCTGACTTAAGAAGGGTACCATTAGTCTTGAATTCAACAATTGTGTAAATTACAAACACGGAACATCTGTAACAGCTTGGCCCCCATTAAATAAATGGAAAGCATTTAACGTTTCCATCCATCAATGAAGAAAATCTTGCTGGAGGCATGAACCTTAAATCTACTCTTTCAGATGGATACTGCCTGGCCGTTTATGAGATGACCTGACACAGCAGTTCATTCACATCTCATTAGATTACAGGAGATGAGAGGCTACCAGGGGGGGCCACATGCAATAAATAAAATTGTTTTAAAGGACTGAAATCTCTTCCGTCTTAAACATCAAACTGTTCAGTTCCATTCCGAATGAAAATTTAAGTTCGCAAGGAAAGTCCAACAGTTCCCAAAGGAGTCTATATCCAATAACTATGCTGGCACAAGATTTGCTGGCCCCACTACTGATCCTATTCTGCTACAGGTGCAATGCCACCCAACAATGGTCTCCTTATTTCCTGTATGCAAAGCAAATTAAGAAAAAAGGATTGGTGAATTATCTCGGCTTTGTTTCCTTCCCCTCCCACCAAACATTAATCAGCTTCAGGGTTTAGTGACTATGGTCTAGATACAGGTAGTCCTTGGGTTATAATAGCAGTTGGGACCAGAATTTCTGTAGCTAAGCAATGTGGTCGTAAAATGTGATGTCATGTGACCACATCGCTTAGTGACTGCAACCTTGGCAGTACCTATTGTCCTCATAACCCGAGGACTGCACAGGTTGTTAAATGAGGACCTCACATTACCACAATGTGGGAAGAGGCAGGAGTCTCAGGCAAGCCGGCTGGCGGGTGAGTGCTATGGGTGGGTGCCGTGGGTGCTACAGAGCATGGGCGGGCAAGTGGGTGCTGCAGGCAGTACAGAACATGGATAAGCGAAAAAGTGGCGAGAACGGGAGTGACTTGCGACGTCCTGCTGGCTTCCCTATTGACTTTGCTTGTCAGAAACCAGCAGGGAAGGTCGCAAATGGCTATCATGTGACTGCGGGACACAGCAACCATCATAATTGCGAGCCAGTTGCCAGGCTCCCAAATCATGATCACATGACTACGGGGACGCTGCAATGGCTGGAACTTGGAGGACTGGTTGTAAGTCCCCCTCATTCAGTGACATCATAACTTTGAACAATTGCTGAACGAGTGGCCATAACCCGAGGACTACCTGTAACAGATTTCCTGATGTTTTGCAGGCAACTGTGGCTGGCATCTTCAGAGGCAAGGTGGTCTGCTATGCTCTTTTAGGAAATCTGCTGTCTAGACCATGATCACTAAACCCTGAAGCTCAACGCTGCCCAACAGAGACCAGCTGTGAAAGCCTACACCAGTATACCCACCAATCACTTTGTAAATATGGTCTGGGTCTGGGAATTAGGCATGTTTTGACAAATAGATAGGCCAGAGGGTTTAACTATCTCTCAAAAATCACTGCTAACAACTAACTGCAGGGAGTGGGACAGGTTTTTCTTCTGTTTGAAAAAACAGCCTGAACAACAGCTGACAGGTGTTAAGAAGATGGGGAGGAGAGTTGTGCTATGAAGGATACAGAGAATGCTGGCTCTCTGTAGCACTCTTCAGAAAGAGTGGTGAACCCACATTCAAAAGCAATTCAAACACAGCTGACAGATATGGTGGAAGACTTGTGGCTGACAGCATCTTAGACCAAGCTAAATCCAAAAATGCAGGGGAATTCCTGGAAGCTAGGTATTCAGACAAAGCAGCCATCAACAGCCACATAGAGTTAAACAACATCTACATACTATTTAAGAGGCAATAAAAAGGAAACAAAAGAGAAGAATACCTACTCACCAGCAATCATCACCCAGATAAGCAGAGATTAACACCAAGATTATCACCAGACATACAATCAAGCAGTAAACAATACCCTAACCAGGGAACTGCCAGGAGAAGGGGGGGGGGGAACCCAACACTGACAGGGCAAGCCACTGTATATAAACAGAGATCAAACCCCACTCCCTTCTAGCACTGAAGATGTTACCTAGCCAGGTAACGAAATGTTTGCAAGAAAACAACCAAGCTCAGAGAACCCCAAGGACTCCACCGTTCAACCCTCAGCTACACATATTCTCTTCTAATGTCCTGTCCATTCTATCTTACAAGAGAGTGATTCCTTGCTGGCCTGGGCACCACCACGTCCTGCCCTGTATATCTCTTTCTTTGCAAGGACGAACTCTGGATAGCCTTAGATCTAAACTTTCTAAGCATCTTCTAATGGACATAATCCTATTATGTCGTGTGTCATGGCTGGCTGGATATAAGAATGATGGAGTATGGGGGATTTGGGGGGATTGTTGGACAAATTCAGTCAACCATAGTCTCAGTGTGCCACCATTTAAGAAACATCGTGGTTCTGAATCCATGGGGGGAACAAGGTCAGTTTGAAAAGGCCAATGATTCTGATGTAATCGCCATATTGCCTAGATTCAAGCACTTGTGAGCCCAGGAGTGAATGGGGCTGTGAATGAGTTGCATCTCCTTGTGATGGAAAACTTGGCCAAAGGAATGCTGGCAGACTTGGCCAGGATAACTGTAGCAAAGGGACAAATGGGTGAGCGAGGAGGGGAGAGGATTATAGGTCAGCAAAAGACAAATCAATATACAAGGGAATGACTAACATTCACAAAGAAGAAATAGGCAGGGACAACTTTAGCTATAGAATTGTTTTGTTTTGTCACTTTACAAGGTTGTGGCCACAAACAACAATCAGAAGAATGCTAACTGAAACTTCCTCCCCACTTAAAGTAGTAAAACATGGATGTTTTGCAGGTAAAAGTTTCCAGGTTTAGTCCTTTCAAGCTTCCAGGTAAGATTCTTGCTTCAGAAACAGCTAACTTTCAATGTAACTAGTATTGATATAACCTTCTGACACGTATATTGGCCTTCTGTATCCCAGTTTGTTCCAGATGTCTACAATTCCAATCAGCACAGCCTACCAGACTGGGGAAGGCTATCTATAAATTTTTCTTAATAATAGCCTAATTAAAAGGAAGCTTAAAATGTGAGACGCACCACTCTACTAAGATCACCCATCACATTCAAACTAACAAGTATCGGGCTGTGATCTTATCAATGGCCCATTTTATGCACTGAGCCTTTCCCTTCATCTTTCTTTTTATCTGATGGATAAAACAGATGGAGGCTATTCGTGGGGGTAATGTAAAATTCACACTTTTGTTATTGCAAGACGAAGGCTCAAATTCAGGACATTAAGTTTCACAGTGGGAAACCAATAATCAAAGAGGAATTGGTTGAAAAATTAAGATACCAATTCGGCAGCTATTGTGGGTGATGGATGCCAAGAAATCAAGAGGCGTGTATAGTAGCTCACTGCATTATTATAAAATGATTTTTAATTAGTTTTTCAACTTCAGGGGAAATAGAGAGGCAACAATCCCCTTAAATTCTCTCCCTGCATGGCAAATGATTGATTACTTTGATGCAAGTCTTATTCCAACTTTAATATCCCCGGTATATCCCTCCCACCCAGCCCCACATGAAATGGTGATGCAGTGTTATAGATAAAAAGGATGGGTATATTCAATGCAGGAGGGCCAAATTCTCAGATATGAAAAACAGTGGGAGAATTTGGGCAAATTTCCAAGTCTCAGCATCACCTATCATGCATGGTTATTGCAAGAGTAAATCAAGTAACCTTATCTATGCTGCAACTTAGGAAGAAAGCCGAGGTAAACTACGAGAAGATGGCAGGTCAATGTCTTCATCCATTTGGAAAAGGCCACAATGAAAGGGGAAGACTGGAAGGGATCAGGCACTTGTGTTTAAAGAAAAGTAAAGTTTAAGTAAAAGAAAGTAGCCAGTGGGAAACGAGATGAAAAGCAAGCAACTATAATACACCAGCAGAAAAATGCCATTAGGTCAGTTTTGTTCTTTGGTTCACATGACAAAATGACATGTAGAACCAGCAGGTTAACCCATGATGCAGTGTTTTTAACATGAAGAGATGGGCTCATGATGGAAGTAGTTTTCAGTTCAATTATGATCACTGCCCAGCTAGTGAAAAAGGTCTAACTACTTATATAATTTGTTCAGGCTGTAGTAGCGAGCTGCACTGGTCTTACAGGAATCACATGGCTATTTTCCATAGGGACCAAATTTTGCACCAATCCAGTTTTCAACCTCACCTGGTCATACAAATTATGCCGCTTTTTCTAAAGCTGCAGCTGAGCTCATAAACTTTTCTCCACAATGAGATTAAAACAAAAAATCAGTTCCTCTTACTATTTAGGATGGTTGCTAGACACTGCAAAAAATGTTCTCCAGAAGTTCCCCACAACCCATGAAGATTACGATATTAGGACAAGTCTTCAAGAAGTATCGTAAGGTCACAAACAGAGAGAGCATATGTAGCCCAGTATATAGTTGATGTTTTTGTAAGAGGAAGTAATGTACGTTTCTTTACCAAGTACTTTCACTGTTGACTATCTGCTCTGGTGACACTCCCCCCAATTATTCTGATACGAGTTTAAAGATGCCCCAATTTTAACTTTTCTGGCCTTTCATAATGGATAGATCAAAACAGCTTACCGGTTTGTTTCACACATTCCGTGATAGGCCTCAATTGCATCTTCTGGATCCACATGCTTATCACTATTTGGCCAGCTGGTTTGCGTATTGAGCTTTGACTCCTTAAAAAAAAATCAACAAGTCAACATTTTGTCCCATTAATTACTACTTTTCATAATACGTTGATTGTGCATGCAGTAATTTCAGTTTGCAAGCACATTTACAATATTGAACACAATTGCCACAAAGTAAATCAAAGTGCGAAAACGAACAGAAAGGACCCAAGTAATGCATCCTAAAGGGAGTTAGAGAGAGAGAGAGAGAGAGAGGGGATAGATAAAAAAACAAATCTATACATCATTTATGCTGGTTTAATTCTCTTCCCTTTCCTCCAAAGAATCCTGCATTTTAAAGAGAACAGTGAGAATTCTGTCTCTTGAAATATCCCTAGTAATTCATTTCAAAAATTACTGCTCTCAGATTCTGTGGCAAGAATATATGATACTAACATAAAATCAAAAGGGTTGGCCAGCTTACAAGGAGCAGAAATGAGTGATAGAACAGCACTAGGATTTAGAAGGGCTTACAACTGAAACTGAAATGGGGAAATTGATAAAATTCACCAGAGGACTGGGGGAAATATGCCAGGTAGAGCCAAAGTTATTCTCAGAAATTAGTCTTTGTATTAGTTCAGCCACTGCAGATGGAGAAAAGTGCCACTTGGCAAAATTTAACTAATGTACCTCATATTCTTTCCTCCTCTATTTTCCTATTTCAAAAAAGAAAAAAAAGCTCAGATGCAACCCTGAAGTAAACATTCTGTAGTTCTGTAAAGTAATCCAAATACTAATTCTACACATCCATCACAATGCCGACAATCTCATAAAACTAGCAAAAGCTTTAGAAAATGAGAAATGTCAATGCAAATACTATGGAAGAGTATGCTTCTTGTAATTCAGGAGGGGGACTGGCCTTGGTATGGCCTTAGGGTAGGCCTAAGGATAAGCAGTTCAATTCATATCCAATCCATTTTATTAACTGCATTAGCATTTTTTTCAATTAACGCAATGTTTGCTAACATACAGTGCCTTTGAACACATATTCCCCTGGTGTTTGTAGCTGTTAACATTATTATTATTATTTAAATTTATATGCATTAATGCCTTTTAAAAACACAAATTAACTTGTTTTTATTCTCTGGCTCATACATTTCCCTGATTAAGATTTTTTAATGTACATTTTTCCAGTGCAAGTTCTTTGAAATAAGAATCATTCCTACTGATGTTTGCATTTCTTCTGAAGTTAGTGTTGGCGTAACTGAAATTTGCTGGTTAATGAAATGCCAAATTCTCTCCTGTGGAAATTTCTTTACCTTTCACTTAAGTTCACGTTACATTTTGGAGCACCATCATTTTTTTCTCAACATACTGGCAATGTGCTCATCATTAGTCCAACTGGAGAAAGGTGTAAAGTAAAGTAAAGTAAAGTAAAGTAAAGTAAAGTAAAGTAAAGTAAAGTAAAGTAA